GGGAGCCATAAGGGCTAGGCCCAAAAGGGTGAAAAGGTCCTAGGCGTAAGATGCTTAGGTCTAAAACTATAGAGTTAGGGCTCTAAGCTGTGAAAGGAAAGTCCAAAAGGGCCGTCATATTATACTATGTATGTAGTATGAGCCAGTGGGCGGAAGAGAGCCGTCTGTTCCGTCACACAATATTTTAATTATTAATTATTAATAGCTTAATATCAATATAAAATCGAGATAGATAATACTATTATTACTTAGATACAATTCAAGGAATATATATTCGATTTAATTATAGATCTAGAAAATCAATAATGTTTGATTACTGTAATGATTTAGATAACCCCCTTTTAGCCACATATTAGAGCACGTGAATAGCACGTACTATAGCGTTAGACTAGCTAGTTAAGCCAGCCTAACGCTATTCTATAGTATATATAACTCCTTTCGAACTCCTTAAACCTTTCAAATATGCCTTTTTAAAATATTACAGTTATGAGCATAGTATTGAATACTATTGCTAGTATTATCTTATAAATTTGAAAATATTCTTTATAATTTATTACTATCTTTCTATCGATATTCTTCAATATTTCAATATCATTATCACGGGTTCACCAAGCGTGACTACCTATACCTACCTGCACCTACCTATACCTATCTGTACCTATTATATGCACACTACCCATTCTTAATTAGTTCGAATAAATGCCTTAGGCATCTATTCACTATATAATCAACATCACTCCGCATGCCTCCTTCTCTTCTTATTAAATATTATATATCTTATCTAGTTCTCATTAGTATCTATACCAGTCCTGTGATAGTATATTTGACCCTTTAAAAGGCCCTATTATCCATAATAATCTAGTTTTGATTATATTTACTTATATACAACAACTTTAATTTGATAACTTTGATTCCGACTTCGATTTATATCATTATAATAACTGATTTTACAAATTCATTAGCTATATTTAGTAATATTAACTCTGATATATCTGTTATCAATACTAATACATTTGCTCCTGAAATCTCAATATATAAAAGCTTAATTATATATATTTATTAAATATTCCAAGATTAATTCTATATTACTAATATACTCATTTTCAGTACCCTTTTCCAAGATTCAATCCTATTAATTAATCTATTCAGTATAGAAGACACCGATTCTATTGCTTAGCTCTTTCTTCGAAACCTACTTACTATACTTGAAGTTATTACTAAAGAATATTATATTAAATTTATAATCTAATTAATTATTAAAGAATAATTCAATATTGAATATATAATCTAATTAATTATTGAAAAATAACTCAATTAGATTTATAATAATCTTCTTATTCAATAATATTAATTTCAAAAAGTATACAATTCTACTACCAAGATCTCTAATCAAAATCCCTTTCCGAATTCTTTTTATATCTGATTAATAATAAAAACCCTAAACCTTTCAAAAATGAAAAATCAAATCTATTTGTA